TCAAGGTCTGAGAATAAAATTAATGTTAAGCTAATCGTTATATCAAGGACCAAATATAGTATGATTTATATTTTAATAAAAAGAAAAAAGTAAAAATTAGAATAAGCTCCTTCAACTTTAAAAAGTTTTTAATCTCAAAATTATGCCCACCATTATTTGATTCATCCAACTACACTTCTCTAAAAATATATATGTTTATTATTTTATTGAATCTAACTGATTGTTCAAGTCACGTAAATCAGTTAAAAATGTTTTATAAAATGATGGAAGAAAACAATAACGAGAAAAAATATCTTCATAGATTTTATGACACAACCAATTCTCCGATCCTGTCTTTGAATAACCGCTGCCCATATATTGGATTTGGGGGTACGAGTTTGGGTGTTTATTGTTCCACAGAGCTGTCCTGGAATGCTTGCTTGTTACCCACGGCAGAATTCACGTGCAGCACGGCCCACCCAATAATTCATTCACTCATTAAAGCTCCATCCACCCCTGTCCACTATACTCCTCTACCGCTAATTTTTTTTTTTTTTCCACTTCTTCTTCTAAAACCGCTAATTTTTTTTTTTTTTCCCTTCTTCTTCTAAAACATAAATTTTTTTTATTAAAAACAATCATATTCGAGATACAATTAGATACTAAATATGAATACTTCTCTCAGTAAAGATTCTAATTTTAATTTACACGTTGTGAGATATTAACTCCTTCTGTTAGACCCAGCCTCTTTAGTCTAAATGTAACATTCTCATTCCATAGTATTCCTCTATTTTTTTTTTTGGTAGTATAGTATTCCTCTATTTTGTTTCCTGTTTCACAATACCTGTTAATTTTAGATTTCGAGAATATATGAAACTGAGAGCAGTATTCTTTTTAAAAAATTAAGAACATTTTGGGAATATAATAGATTATTTAACGTTCCTAATCAGGAGCAAACCTGTCTAGATACATTTCCCGTGCATTTTTATTCGGCATGAGAGATTAGGTGCGCTAGGAAGCGCACATGGTTACGATTCTCAATTATTGGTGGAGTAGTTATGAGAAATCAAATCTAAACTTAAAATATAGGCATTGTCGTTTTTTGGTTTTATTCTCTGCTGTTTATTCATGCACATCACTGTGAATTGATCGGGGAGTTTATTTCAGGTCATTTATAATAGATTATAAACAAGATTTGCAAAGTACAAGACCAATATATAAGAAAATTTTTGTCTCGAGTTACATTGACTATGTTTATAAATATTTATATAAATAATGCCAAGCAACCACTTTACTACTATTTATAACGCCATAATTTCTCTTGATTATCTTGTTAATCACTCTTCTAAGTTTTAGTGAAACTAAGAAAATTTTAAATATTTTCAAATATGTTTTGAAATTTAACATTTTTTAATTCATCTATATTTGTTACGCACTCTGCTTTAAAGAACAATGTCTAAAACAATAATCAATAAATATAAAAAATTAATATATATTATATATATAAAAATAAATGATATAATATAATAAATATATATATATAACTATACTTCAGAATGTTAATAATAATTAAATGAGTAAATAATAACTTTTTAACAACAATTATAATAGTCCCGATGGAATTAACATTAAATGTCGTTAATTCTTATTCTATAATTAAATTGTTTGTACTCTTATCTGTGGACTATGAATTAAGTACTACTTTATGTTCACAATATAAATCTTTTTGATTTTTTTATTTTGATTTTAAATACAAGATTCTAATTCATTTTATCCTTCATATTTATATATTTTTTAAGTTAGTCCTTATAATAATGATAGTTTTTAGTCAATACACTTAATTAGTAAGAATATTAAAAAAATATATATTTTATTAAAATAACTAAATTAAGTTATTTTTTAAATTTATTCAAATTAATTAATTATTATATTTATAACAGGGATATTATTATTTAACAGGCAAACCATTAAAACCTCTAACTGGTCCCCACAGGATGCTTTTGCCGACAACTTCAAATGGCAATGCGACGCCAGTCGCCAGGGGTTGGAAGAGCCGGCCAAAGCGTTGAATGCGGTCAAAAGGAAGCATGCTGTTCGATCAATCTGATGAACTAGGGATGGCCACGTGGACATTATAAAAAGAATGTATCAATTTTGTTTTTTTTTGGGTAAAAAGGGCAAGTTAGGTTTGAAGGAAAAATTAAAATCCTAAAAAGTAGCAAGACACTTACTCATTTTGTCCTATTTATAAATCACATTTAGTATGTTTTATACAGACTAAGAAAAATTTTAAATTTTATTAACTCTTATTTAAAATTTAACACTTTTCAACTTTATTCTTATTTAATATACATTATATCTCAGGTAAACAAAATCAATACAATAATAAATAAAAAAATGTATTCTCTATCTGCTTGTAAATAAGACCAGAAATATTTTATTTATAAAAAAACACTAAATAATTGAATTTTTTTTACTTTGATATATCTTGAAAATTTATTTTCCTAACAAAAATATTCTGACCATATCTATTAATTTTTCTACAATAGCTACCAATAATTGTTCCCAACGAACAAAATTTTGACTTTTTTTTCCTTCTAATTTTTCAAAAAAAAGAAGAAAGCATTTATCGTGATCATTGATGGACAAGGATGTCAAAGAATAGAGGATCTAGTGACGCAACGATCGGGAACACGTGATCTTGTTCTGCTTTTGAAGGAATGGGCCTCGTTGAGTGCTGATCAGAGATATTTTTTTGTTGGTTTTGTCCAGAATCGAGAATTGGAACCTCCTAGTCAATTTGACTGTCAGAAGGAAATGACATAAAACAATGTTGTCAATCTCTTTATCTGCTGAGAACCTGATTCTAAGCCTCTTCCCAGGTTCTTTTTTGGGTCAGTTAGCCTCTTTGCACAATCTAGGATCCCTCTCGGTTCTCCTTGGGCCAGTTTTGCTACCTGCAAAATATTTGTGGTTCCCAACCCTCGCCATCTCTTCAAAAAAACAAAAAAAACTTTCATCCACATCCCCAGACCCCACTTATCGTCTTAAGCAGTTTTTGAATAGAAATTAAATTATAATTTAAAAAATATTTTTATAATTTATAAAATAAATATATAAAAGAGTTTGTCTTGTTTTGTAAAAAATACATCTTAGAAATATTTTTTAAGGGTTACCAACCACGCCCTTTTGAGCCAAACAAAGATGATTAAAATTTCCTCCCCTTCTCTCCAACAAAACCAAATGAGGAAGCCTCCTCCACTGCCTCCCTTACCTTACCCTCCCTCCACAGTTCATACCAAACATAGTTGGTATGAGGAAAATAGAGAGAATGAGAAGAAAATGGAGACGATTTAAAAAATTAAGAGAAAATAGTTTTAAAAAAAACCATCAAAATAGAAAAGTTATAAATTAGAACATGACAATATTAGTATGGATTTTAACAACAATAATATAGGTTTTAATAATAATTTTTGTGAAATGAATCCCTGCATGTAATTTTTCTATTTCAACGATTTTTTGTTATTGCAATTTTTACAAAAATTAAGGTTTAATCAAAAGTTCTTAATTAATTTTTGTACTCTTTTATCTTTATTAAAGTCTTATAATCTGAGTTCTCCAAGGTGATTAAAATTTTCTCCTCCTCCCTTTCTTAGATTTCCCTAATACCATCGTTCTAACCATCCCCTCTACCTGAGATCGTGGCCTTGGATTCCTACCCAGAAGAAGGGAAGAAGGAACGCGTTGGTGGAATTTTTTTCCCAGGGATAGCCTGAGTCGGTTTGAGTTGTTGGATACTTGGATCAATCCTTTACAGTTTTTATCACCTCAGTGATGATAAAACAATAATACCCAAAACATGCGTGTGCGTGTCAGTAAATGCAAGAATATTTACTTCAAAGATATCGACGGAACTTTAAAAACCATTAGCTAAGTTTGGATTGCAGTTGGAGAAGCCAAAAGCATCTGGAAAACGTGAAACTAAAGTTAGTGGCTTATTATGACTCAGAAGATTATTTGGATAGAACTTCTTTTTTAACTGACTTATGAAAAAAAATAATTTTTCTAACTGACTTATCTAACGTAATCTGGATTAACTTTTTTAACTGACTTATGGAAAAATTATGCAAAATTATGCAAAACTTACGATCTCATTAGTTATGTGATTTCATTTACTTTAATTAGAGACCAAATAAATTTTAATTATATTCATGTTTATTATTATGTATATTTAATTTTTTTCTCCGTAACAAATATTTTTATTTTATAATCTCATAAATAAACTATTTATATTTTATCATAATAATTTTACATATTTTTTTAAACTATTATTACATTATTTAAAACATATAATTTGAAACACTATTATTCAATAAAATTTATGTCTTTTTCAGTTATTTTACAATTAAACTAACTTTTCTATTAATCATCCAAACAACTTTTAATTTTTTTAACTAACTTTTTATAAACATCTATCCAAACATAAATCGCATTACACTAACTGATTTTTATTCTAATTTTAGTTATAAAAAATGAGTTAGACTAAAAATCAGTTTTACCAACGAGAATCCAAACATGCCAAGCCAGACACATACTGCTGTCAAGATATTACGGTCATGTAATATTATAGTATTATGTTGTGCACTTTCTTGCCTCTAGGAACTTGTGTCTAAGTTTGTTACGCATACCGTAAAATATAAGCAGAAGATATCTAATTTATTAAATATACAATCCCGATCCTTTCGATGATCCATATCCAAATGGTCGCCTAACTTGTTATCATCAATCTTTTTCTTAAATCATACAAGTCAGTATCGGACTCTTATGCAGCCTAAAGGAACAACATGAACCAGCCTCACAGAGTTGCTTGTAGGGAATTTGAACTATTGTTTGTTTCTGACAGTTGGATTTGTGGCTTCTGCCAAAAATATTACCTTTAGTTGATTTATATCATATTCCAAGAACACGATGCACCGTCTCGCTCATAACAATTCCAACAACTATTTGTTTCTGGTATGAACTGGAATCAGATTGAATTTTCAAACATTACTTTTCCGAGAAAGTAGGATACAGCGGATTGAACAGCCGGACGTTGATCTACATCGAGCATTGAGTTAGCCTAAAAATACTCTAAAGTTACAATTCTAAATCCTTTCAAATTTTTAAATCCCTCGAAGGCATACGCTCAAAATACAATGGGGTGCATCCCTCTAGTCATTACCTCAAAATGCAGCGAAGCTAGATAGGTCTAAACGCAGGCCGAAAGAAAGCCAGAGATCGTACGTCTCCTCGGTTTGTCAAGCAAACAGGGGAGTTTGGTTAGTGATGGTGGAGGATCTGTGAGGAGGCATGGGAGGCCTAGTGGTAATCCCCAGGTTAGAGCTTGCCCTTTTCACATTGATCGACGAACACGAAATTCCTCTGTCGTTCGTGTCACCCATGATTCCTCCTCCATAGCTTCTTCTGCAAGCCTTGAGCTTCAACTTCTTGTTGTACGGGTTCTCTGGTTTAACCAGATCTTCCAAGCTCCTCACGTTGGCCAGTGAAGTGAACGACTGGGACTTGCCCTGGTAATGCTTCGAAAGCCCCTTCCTGTCAGAAAGACACAAACTTCCATCAGAAAACTTATTTCAAGGAGCAGAGGGACAGATGCCCAGAAACACAAACGTTGGCCAGATCAAAAGAAGGAGGAGATTACTTGATGGGAAGTTGCTGAATCAGAGAGGACATGTCAAGTACAGGGTCATTATTAGCCAGGGGATGATCAGGGGAAGAAGTGGGAGATGAAGACGACGAAGTAACTTCTTCGAAAGAATCGGACTCAGACTCCAAGGACGATGCGTTGAAGTCTCCGAAGGAAGAAGGAGAATCAGAGAGATCCTTCCTCTCGGCTCCAAGAATGGCAGTGTTCTTAATCATACGCTCCATAGCTCTGAGCTCTCCAATATGGATTGGAATACACTTTGGGGGCTATATATATCATATATTTATAAGGGGATCAACCTTAAATAAATGAGAACCACTGGACTTTTGTCCTGGCACTAAACTGCTCAGAACGAGTATGAACAAAGGACAGACATATCCCTTGAGGTTTTATATGGAATAAAAAAAAGAGGGGCTGGAAAGGTGGCGGATAAGATTAAAGGGTGGATAATATAATATTGGAGTTTTTAACAGGGTTCATATTTCCGATTAAAGAGGAACAGTAAGATTCGGGCCTATCCAGAATATGATATTGCTTGTCTCCCATCGACCTCCCCCAAAGCCTGCTGGACTTAAGGCAGTTGTCAAGTTGATGCGCTCGTGTCCCCGTCCATTGCCTCAGCGCGTGGCTTCCTTGCCGCCCAGTTTTTAAATTGTTGTATAAAAATACGGGTTCAAGGAATTTCTTCCATGAAAATATACTATTCTTTTTTTCAGCACGTCTATTGCACTATTAAGTTAATAAAAATTTTCAGGTACTCTTAAATTTTTTTAGTACTTTTAAAACAAAAATGGCTCACAACACTTTACAAATTACAAATAACCAAACGATGAAAATAAAAAATTGGTTAGAATTAAAATTAGTTAAATATTATTTTTATATATTTTTTATTGAGTAAAAATAATATATATGTAATGAAATTATTTTTCATTAAAATATTTACACTCTTTTGATTCTAAATATAAGATCTAGTTTGTAATGTAAATTATACTATAAAATTAATCTTATATTTAGAAGAGAAAGAGTATTAAATTTTTTGTATTTATTATATCAACTTCTTGACTGAACAAAAAAATTTTAAAAAAATGGATGTGGGAGATTTAAATTTAAGTATCATTCTTAATTTTTATAGAGGGTGGACAAATAAATTATCTTTTTAAATAGATACAAAATATAACTTGTCTTTTTTTTTTGGGGAAAAAGAAGACAAGGGTGATCCCAAAAAGTGCAGTGGGAGAGCGCGTGGAGGAGGGGAAGGGCGCCCGCTGGGAGGGATCAAATCAAGGAAGGAGCGCCCATGGGTTAGTGGTGCCTGAGAGGCAGCACCTAAGACAAGAAATACGGGACGAGGACGACGACTACTACTGGTGCACAAGCAAAGCAACATAGGAAGGGCGTACCATGATGGAGCATGAGACGCGCAACAAGACAAGAGAACAAGTAAAAGGTGAAGGGTGAGGAGCATGTAAAGAGCAACACGGACAGATATGGGAGGAGGGAGTCAGCATCAACCAAAAGGTGTCGTCGTTTTAGTCCGCACATGTCCCTCCCCGCTCACCCCCACCACGCTGCTTTTTTATTTACCCTCTCACGCAACCTCCCCCTCACCTTCCCCTGCCACCCACATCCTTTCACCACTTTTCCCCGTAATTGCCTTCCCAACGTCCCCCTCCCTCTCCTCCAATCCCATTTAACGAGTACTCTGTTACTAATTTCCCAAAATTCATTGCATTGCTTCCAAATTTCCAACTACAACATCAACAAAAGTACTTCTCGCCCTGTCACGTTTGGTGCGATAACAGGTTTAAAAAAAATATTTTCAACTAATTGTAATATTTTTTTAAAAAATTAAAGTTTGAGATAAAACAAATAAATAAAGTGTGTTTATTATTTTAAAGTATTTTTTAGACGTGTTTAATACACAAAAATATTGTGTAATTTATCTGATACTTTAAAATATTTTTAAATTTATTTAACATTGTAAAATATTCTTTGATATAATTTTATTTTTAAAAATTTGCTTTTTCCAAGAGCAGTTGTACCTTCACGGTACTTGTTTTAAGAGTAATTTTAATTTTGCTACTAATTCTTCAGAAACTCTGTTAAGTGAATGTGTATCAATCATTGTAAAGTTTTTTCCTAATATTTTTTAGGATGCTAAACATATGTAAAAAAAAATATTTTATTCACGATGTCAGGAAAATCATAAAATACTTTAAAATATTTAATACACATAAAAAGGAAAAGTTACCATAAGATTCTAAAAAATGAATGCAATTATTAAAAATTAGGAAGCATCTAAACAACCAAGCAGACCATGACAGAGAAAATGACAGCGTGCTTATATAATATTCACTTGTGGCTAAATTTTTTTATAATCATGTATCTTATACTGATTTTTGCTTAAAAAAAATGTTAAAATCATAGAAAAATAGCATGTAGGACAGGGCTGGTGGCAGAACCACATCATGTCACCGTTGGTTCGTCCTCCCAATTCATTCCTCATTCGTCCTTCCAAATCTCATCTCAATTTTCTTCAACAGATTTTAATATGGTAGGCACATTTATTTTATTTTGGCAGCTAATATTAATTCCTGGACATTAATAACATTTGGAAAAACTTCGTAAGTTAACAAAGGAACAAAGACAGGCGTGTCGGGATAAGTGAGGGTGTTGGTGTTGGGTGGTTGCCATTGTGGCAGGCATCTCTAATTGTTGTGCCCGTAACCATGATGATGTCTTCTCCTACCTTAATTCATGGCCCATTTTTGCAAAACCCCTATCGTGCTTACCTCACATTTTGAGGGCCCCCATTAGTTTACTTCAACTGCTGCTTTGATTCTTGTTATAAGTTATTCACAATTCATCTTCACACATTAAAAAATACTCCTCCGGTCCTAATTATAAGACCCAATTGACTTATTTGAAAAGATTAAAGAAGTAAGTTAAGTTGGTTATTTATAATAAATAAGTGTTGTCATTCCTAAAATATCCTTGCTAATTAAGTATATTGGCTAAAACTATCATTATTAGAAGGATTATCTGAAAAAAAATGCATAAATATAAGAGACAAAATGGATTGGGTCTTATAATTAGGACCAAATAAAAATAAAAGTCAAATTGAATCTTATAATAAGGACCGGAGGAGTATACTATATTAATAGAATGTTTTAAATGTATTCTTATTAAATTTCTATTCCTCTCTATATTACAGATCAGTCTCACTTCTCTCTCTTTTTTCTCTTTTTCCAACAGAAATAGTAGTTAACATTTAAAATATCAACCATAAACTCTATAAATAATAAACTCTATAAATAACTTATATTTGAAACCAAACTTTTCACCTACAAGTAACATGTAAGAGGAATCAGGGCGATAATTTTATGTTGTATTAGGTGTGTGGAAGAAGCTCTTCCTCTATAGAGTGAGGAATTTTTTTCCTTAAGTGATTATAGGATTTAACAAACTAACATCTTGTTTTTTTTTTCAATGATTGTCTGGCGTTCAATTTTAAATTTTTCTACAGGGACATAAATCAGGAGGCTATCAACTAATATCAGGTTTAAAATAATTTCAGCTAACGTTAACAAGACACACAAGCAAACGACTGGAAAAAGAAAATACGATAAGAAGGCAAAACCAAAGATATATATATATATATATATTTTAACCAAAGATATGTTTTTGTGCTCATATGTTATCCCCAAAACCTGTAAATTGGGGCTTTTTAAAATGAGAAGCAAAATACTCGAAGCTGGGTCGTTGCTATTTGGGCTTGATCCTGCTTACATAAACGTGCAGCCCAGTCCATGGTTTCGGCGCATCCAACTCATGTTGCCGTTAGCCATGTCATCAATAAGTTAAACTACTTATCATTTATGGAGAGGTTTGGAGGAAAGCCAGATCATAATTTTATAAGTAATTTATGAATTTCAATACGAGTATGTGAGAGCGATTTGTTTGACTTCCTATTTTTCAAAATACTTCTGAGACCTCTTAAACACCCTCTCAATTAGATAGGTTATGTTTAAAATCTATATTTCGCATGGGGAAGAATTCGCCCTCTTTCCTCCTATTTTTGTTTCTAATCAGTAGATTAATATTTAAATGATTCAGATTTTTTTCATGAAATTATTATCAAAATGTTAAATTATGAAATGAAAAATAGATAATTAAATTTAAATTACTAAAATTTGATATGAAAAATTTAATATTGTATTAAAGAAACTAAAAACAATATTTTGAAAAAAAAAAAAAAAAAAGAGGAAGGAAGAGGATGAAAATTGGAAAGGGAATATGAAAGAATCCTTTCCCAGAACAAGCTTCAATCAATAATAGAGTATTTTAGAAGCTCATAACAAGCAAATGCAGGCAGATGAATTTTTATTTTTAAGGCATGAAAATTTCAAGAAAATTGCTGTTTTTGGAGAAATCTCCTAGATTGGATCTAACAATAATAGGATGGGGGAAAGGATAATGGATTCGTGCCTATAGATACCAATCAATATATCGATTTATGCCAAACCTCATCAACTCTGTAGATATACAAAGTATATTGTCACTCCCTACGTTTTCTTGTGAAGAACATTTTTCGCTTTTTAAAATCTGCCTCTTTCAAACTCATTTATTACTACTTTTTCTAATGGCATCCTTGAATTTTTAAAAGCTAAATATGTCTACTACTAAAATAAATCAAAACAATGCTTAAAAATTATAAACATATTAAATTATATTTCTCAACCCCCATCACACAAAGGAAGCCAGATTGGTGGTTTATTAGATTTTACTGTCCTTCGTCTCTAAATACAATAACAAACATATTGTTTAGGCTTATTCTTTTTTGTAGTACATGCTCTGAATAATACGAAATTTGTTAATTTATAATAAAAATATTATCATTATATAGATAATGCAATTCATTTTTCAACCTAAGTTATTTTCTCAGAAACTAGGCGGATCTTTCGGCCGATAGTCAGATCCTTCCCAAACGTAAAGATCACTGAAATGAATTTTGTCTCTCTGGGATAACTTTATCACATACAGTCCAGACAATTAAAATAGGAAAGTTAACAGGGGAAAAAAGAAAAAGAAAAAAAGAAACCAAGAGGTTGGCGAATGATGGGCTTGGTTACTGAAACGCATTCATGGATCATGAGGAGTCGGTGCTCGAGGGGGACCACAGTGGGTAGGTCCTTTTTTTTTTTTGGGTACAATAGAAAGGTCTTTTGGGTGCACACTTTTGCCTTCAGAGGGGGGAAAAAAACACTAAACTAGGAAATTTGCACCCAGGATCAACATTATAACAAAAAATAAAATAAAGTTAAATGTGAAGAACCACCAATTCAAATATCCATTTAATGTTA